TTACTGACTTGGGTTCGGAAGCTCGGGGCATCGCCTGTTGATCGCGTCTTTTTTTGATCATTAAAGTTTGTGTCCGAGGTTTTCCGTCTTCTTACTATCCGCCGTGCTAGGAGTCTGGATCAAGCAACATAGCTGGGGATAGAGTATTGCCACAATCCGCATATCATATTGTTTGCTCGCTGCGTGACCGAACCGTAACAAATACCAAATAAATAAATTTTTCAGCAGCGGCAACCATAAAATGCATAGGGACCACGCAACCCGAGAGAAGTACGATGGATAATGTACTGCCAGTTTACCCAGGCCTTAACAGAAACAACCATACACGTTCCGGTCGCTAGTTTTGCGCCTCAACCTCTGAGCTGTCTCCAACTACTAAAATCAACTATCAGTTGAGGCGATAATAAATTAATCTCTAAGGGTAGCACCCTGTAGACCTTACTCGACTGGTTATTCAACGAATGCACGTCAAGACCAACAGTGGGAAAAATATTAAGGACTCGGGCGAGAGGACCAAGCGTTCGTACAACGTTGTGACATTCACTCACCTTGATTATGACTTTGTCAGGCGATGTGCTGCTTGAAAAGTCAAAATCCAAAATTTCAAATGCCTCCATTGTCTTTATGTTGCACTCAGCAACTACTCCGTTCTCCTCAAGTCTATTAATCGAATATAAGGATTCGATGTTACTTTGAAACTGCTTACATCAAATCCAGTGTACATCCAAAATCCTGGTAGGTTAATATTAGAGAGGTTGTCGATGCTTGGTTAGACGTCCCAAAAATGGACAAACAATCCTGGTCAAAAATGGGGACTCTATAGCAGTAAAAAAGACTTACGATAACAACGCTAACATTAGTTTTGAATGAAATCACGTCCCTGCCCAAGTGGTACTCGCGAAATAGGTCAGAGTGAAGAAAAGCATTGCCCTGGATACACTTTGCGTCTTCCACAGTAACTTTCAAGCCATTTGAGGTGGCGAAAATGGTGGCCAGCTGAATTGAGTCGTCAAAAATATACACCCTATGGAGTCAGTTACGTCTCTGAATTGCACTGCTTTCAGAACGCTGATGATAGTTTTAGCATTATCCATTGTCAAGTATATAAGTGCATCGGTTGGACGAGGCATGATACCAGAGGGTGAGCGGAGATCGTTTGGCAATCGGCGATGGAACAATAAACTGAAACAAAACGAAACATGTGTTGCACGACGAGAAAAGGAGGAAGCATTTTTGGAAAGCGCTGACAGCTGAGCATTGTCTATCAAAGCGACGCAGTTGGGATAGTGAAATTCGTCACAAGTGGATGATACCCAAAAGCCCGAATGCAGCATTGCATAGATATATACCACAGTATAGCATAATACAGCTTGGTACGGCACATGGCATAATATGACGGCGTCTAAAACACCATTCTGATCTGAACATGTCCAGTCGCACTCAAAACTATCATGGTCAGTCTCATATGATTGTCTTGACTGTGTGGTCTCTTCAAAGTGAGGCCAGAAAACGAATGGTCCATGCAGTATCAGAATTTTTTGTCATCAGTGAACTGTGCGCAATCGTAATGAAACTGGTTGTGAACCTCCATGACTCGTTAAGCTATACTGGGGACGCCAAAAGACGTCGAAAAGTCCTCCATACCTAGGTGATACGTTGGTAGATGTTTGGCAAACAAAGTTTCACAACCTTCCGAATTGAGAGTAACGAAGTATGAGCAACTGCTTCGTTGAACGAGGTAACCCAGTGGCTTTTCGACTACAACTGCATGGGATAGAGACCCTGCTGTATACCGATCCTCGTGTTCTTTCAGGTTGCATGGCACTGACAAGGTATCGCAGTCAAACTAGTTTCGCAGCCCGATTCCCCCAAAAACACTGCTTTGGTGGGTCACACCAATTACCACTGGTTGCAGTTCCAGATATCCAATTACTACATCCGACGAACCTGCAATTATCAAGGTTTATGTGACCATTAAAGGAGTTAAGATTCTGCTGCCTGGAACAGGACTTAAGACATCGGGCAATAGAATAGAATCTGAAAGACGATGTGTCCGGACGTTACTAGTGATCGGGTTCCACGGGGGGCACCGATATGGGATAGCCTTGAAGCCGACTTACTCTTGTGAGGAAGGTCGCCGTAAATTGAGTAGGCATGCCAGTCGTCGCACAGTCCAAAGGAAGACGAAACGAGAAGAAACTGAATCCAATTCCATGGTATCACAGGCACTCTTGATGAGCACCAGTACAAGCGTCTGGATAATCCGGATAAGAACTAGGAGTGCTAAATGTGAAGAATAAATGGTCTTTTCCCTTTCGAAACAGACCAAATGCACTTAGTAATTGATTTCTCTTAACAGTGATACAAAGCAAACGGCCGTCTCAAACGTATTAGTATCACCCTTCAGCTGTAACACCCTTTCGGTGCCAAACTGCCATGACACCCAAAGGCAGTGCGAGAGTTAAGATGCTGCCAGGCTACACAAGCCTAGACAGCATCATTCAAGATGCCGCAGTTGTGTTCGAATCACGGACCTTCCGGCAAGTAAGTTCACGCCTTAGCGGACAAGCTATCTCGAGCTTCAAAACGACGGTTCTAAACTTCACATCCCCTGCTCGTGGACATTATTCGAGAGCACGTAACACAGCCTAGGTAGTTTATTGACGCTGAATCATCATACATGACGAATTGAGGATCCAGACAACTACACATTTAGAAGGATGGCTCTCGTGAAGACGCTCAACTGATTGCGTCATTGGACTATATCTGTAGATGTCGCTAACCGCCATTTTTTTCGTATTTAGAGTGTCACCTGTCACAACCGAAAACAAGATCCTACACTACGGTTTCACATCTCACTGCCACTATACAGCTGCTCAGCTGTACCACCCTTTCGTGGCTTAACTACTATGCCACCAGAAGGAAGCACGAGGGCTGAGATACTACTAGGTTGCCAAAGCCTAGACAGGGAGAGTCGAAAGGCAGAGGTCGGACCTTCCACTGAGACATCTCTTCCCAATATACAGGGTTAGAGCCTTTGATTCGTCTGACCCTGGGCATGAACGGGCGGAAAGACAGCTGATTCTTCCATATGCATAGCATGCGACATGACCTATTGTCCGGAAGGTAGCCATCCTCAATAAGCGAACAATACATCATTTGGACGGATGTCACGTTCAGGCACGGACCAAACGAGGTCATGCCCTGATTGGTCAGAATGCCAGCCAATGCGGATCGAGCATTTCTGACTCGACGTTTCCCGACCCCTCACACTCTGTGACTATCCTATAAATACAGTTGTAATAATCTTCCTTTTACTCCATAAATAGCTGTCTAGAGCTGCCCTGCCTTTTGGTATACTATAGTGGGCGGAACAGGAAGCTAAGGGACCGATACATAGTCATGTATCGTCCGACAAGCCAAAACACCTAGTCCATAAAATGTGCTATTCGCTTCTTCCTAAAATCACCTATTGTGTAGTGGTTCGGTTATACACACAGGCTCAAGGGCAAGTTGGTTCAAGCTGCTGTTTCGGTGAGGGGGAAATGAGTGGATAAGGGTAAAGGCGCCTATCAGTGGTGGTGACGGCTTAATCAGTTCAAGGGCGGCGAATTGTCCTGCGGTGGTCGAAAGTTAGATATCTATACAACGAATGTGACACCTTAAATGCACGGGTGCCGTTTTTTGCAGGATTGAGCCGCATCTCTGACTAGTAGTTAGTCACGTCCTGGAGTCCCCATTAAAGTATCAGCAGTCAACACGCCTGGGTTTATTGACCATCTCGTTGTCCAGCTAGCGCTTCAGTCAAGTTAACGTCACTTTGGCGAAAGCAAACTGGACACGTATATGGGTCACCGCATTATAAATATCGAGGGTAGAAAACAAGAAATTACAAACAACGTCCTAAAGATCGGGAACAAGAGGGCAGGGACGGCGGCACCGCTATTTACACAACAACGCAACGTCCGTGAGTGTTTCCAACCATTAATTTGGAGGGCCTCTGATTCTCTAAACTCATAGGTCACAATAATTAATGCAGCTAAGACTTTCCTTATGTTTCTAACGCTCCGTCTGCAAGTCATGCGTTACGTACCTTGTGGTACGGTTTGGTCCGAATATACTCAAGTAAACAGGGTATAGCGAAACAGCTGTTTGCATATAGTGGTATTTACCGGAAACCTAGAAGTGATAATGGCACACCGATGATCCTCACACCGATATCCAACAACATTTCAAAAGACAGCAACTGCAGTAGACATATAACATCCCCCGACAGCCCTTCTTCTTCCAAATGTTATTAATGAGCGACAACATCTTCCTTGAAAAAGATGAGGTGAGATAAACCAAGAACCAGGTGAATCGCTGCTTTTCAGAGCCTCAGTTTTGGTCTCCTGATTTCGTCTCCTGTTAAAATCGAGTGGCACGAGCTGGATCCCATACCCACTGATGTATTAACTTTATTTCGGAACCACGGGCCCATGCGTTCTACTTGACGAAACAGGCAGGCCTGAGATGTGCATTTAAGTTGCCTTTCTATGAACTTGTTTCATTAATCAGTGGTTTTCTTTGCCCGGTGTTAAACGAACGAGTCAGGAAGGACCCGGTTTTGAATCGCCGCCGAATTCCATTTTTCGGGCTTGCTTCCAAGAGCACTTTCATCGGTCAGCCGGGTGGCCATGAGATCTAACTTGAATGAAGCCATGACACCGTTGGAGGCAAACAGTCCGAAACCGAGTTCATAGCGTCTTCGATTTTGGGTTGCAAAATGGACACAAGGCGCAATCCTCGTCCGTAAACGATGTTCCACACTTCACTTTCGGGTACCTGGTGCCCAGAGGTGAGTCGCTCCGAATAACCGACCTCGACATCGGCTGGACCGATGTGCAATGGTGTGAAGGTCGGACTGATCAGAATGTTGGCCAATCTAGATCGAGCATTTTTTGCCCGGTGCTTCTGGCACGATCACGAGGATTCTCGTGCGATCCTGTTGAAAACCCCCCTATAACCCAGTAATTGCAGTTGTAATAATTATCCTCTGTCGTCATATAAGGTTGTGGCAAGCTACTACACCTCTCAATATACTGTGGTGTGTGGAGATGGTAGCCATGCCCGACAGGATACTTTTGGACTTCCGACTCGGGTCGGTACATCGCCCACGGAGAACGGCATTCTGCCGCGCTACTGAAACAGGGGGTGTGTGGAGAGGGTAGCCATGCCCGACAGGATACTTTTGGACTTCCGACTCGGGTCGGTACATCGCCCACGGAGAACGGCATTCTGCCGCGCTACTGAAACAGGGTGGTTTCTCCCGCATAATGTTTGCGGTTTTCACACCAAAATATTGCATTTTGTTTAAAAGTGATCAGACAAGAATCATCCGAACCTGCCACAATTTTGCCATTTGTTTTGATTAATCTCCTTTCGAAATTTTTGGCGCATGCTGGAATTTGAACTTGCGATGTGGTGGGGGGCTCAGTATCCGCACAACGAAAGTGAATTTTTTGGTAGATATGACTTGTCCTTGATGGATTAAAGCAATAGGGCAATTGGGTTCACACTACCAGTCTAAACTTTTCAGCCCAATTTAGGCATCCCGGGGCGTCAACGATGCTTAGACATTATCCCATCACACATTTCCGCCAGAGGTGCGATTGCCCCAGTGACCGATGTAATCAAAATATGAAATCAGATTAGAATGCTTTTTGGACTGAACAGACACGCAACAAAATGCAACAGTATGTTGCAAAATGTTTAGCTCCATTCCTGAAGGTTTTGCAGTCAAGAGCATTGTGCTGCTAATGGGCCCCATGCGGTGGCTGCGATCTCAGTATTCGCACAATGGAATTACTCTCCGAGAGCTACCCTATTTTCAGGGTTGCCACTTCACAGTGAAGAATGCCCATGAGCAACATAGATGTATATATGTATTATGCTAGTTAGCTACATCAGTGATTCGTTTAAGTGAGCGTATCTTCAATGTCACTAAACACGTTCCCTAATGTAATAAGAAATCGCGAATTGTGGAAAAAACAACACTTACAATGGACAAAACTTTCGGATAATTTTAGGGCTGAAAGATTTCTTGAACACTATAAAACCTACATGCCCCCTGTGGATGCAAAATATGCGGAACTGCCATACCTGGAGATATTTTTCGCCTGATAAATCCTG